GTGGAGCTCTGCGCTGCACTGATTAAATGAAGCAACCAATTGGATTGAATGAGCAGAGTTAAGTCTGATGTATTTAAATGTCGCTAGTTACTAATCTGGACCCAGACTGTTCTTCAACTATTTCCAGAGTGAGTGGAACAGTGCTTGCAAACCAGAGATTACTAATAAGCTGTAACATACAGATCAATAGATAGTCTACTGCTCCAAGTGGTGACAGAGTGCACTGCATGTGAGAAAGACATAAGGAAAGGCTGAAGATGAAATATCACCAGTACATTAACTATAGCACTTTCAATTTTGTAACTTTATTTCAATTTTATGTGACTCAACTTTGAGTAGGAACCCCATACATGAAACGCACTGTGACAGTCCATATAAAAGGCACTAAAGGAGCTAGATTTGGCCCCCGGCTGGATCTCTTGACTGGGTCTTGAGTGATTTTTGCTGTGATGTTATTTTTCTCACAGCTTATTTCTGCCCCACGGTTAACATCGCTTTCTATAATGTAGGTCCCCCCCCCCCCCAAGTCATGGAGTTTACAGGTTCACAGATGGCTCCTGTCCGCCAGCTTTCCAGTACTACCCGCTGCGTTCTTGGCGCAATTCACCTCAGCCAGGCCGTAGCCACTCCCGCGCCTGGCACGGCGGCATCTGCCCGAGTAAAAACAAACAGAGAGTGCTCTTCAAGCTCACCAAGGATGTCAGAAGAGGGGAAAAAGGCAGTCCGTTCGGGGAGTTTGTTTGTGGAGATGGTGGGAAGCTGTCATGATGTCACTGTCGCCTAGCCAACCTAAACAGATGAGATCAGGGCACCTTCCTGGTGTCCCATGACCAAGCGATTCCTGTCGCCCAGCAGCGCTGAGTGCCACACAAGGGGAATCCCAATGAACCAGATGCTATTTCAGTGTGGGAGAACCAAGTATGTATGTTGTTATGAATCATTTTAGGCCACCCGAAATCAAACATGATTGCAATTTCACGGTTAGAAAAAACAACACAGGATTATAGTAAATTTACATGCCAGGTAATCTGACAAAATTATTGTTATAATCAGTTAATAATCTGCCAATATACATTATTTCGCATTACAACTTTCAATTCAGTTAGTGGTAAAATAGTTATATTGGTCCATCAGACTTGATTCTTGACACATAAAAAAATAAAAATCATCGCAAGTACTGCACAACATTTTGATGAAAAGATGGTGAGATAGGCCTACAACTAATTTACATATCACACAGAGAGGAGCGTCTTATCAATATATACATCTTTGATGTAAAACATTGCAGTATTTGCAGGAAACAGCGGCACCAAGTGACAGAGATACGTTAAGGTCTCGTATTTGTAACCAAAAAGGTGCGGATTAGAATGACCACCATTGAGCGCCCTGTGATGAACGTAACCTGAACTGCACGTTAAGATATACGACATAGGCGAAGTTAATTTCGTCCGTTACAAGGTACATAGAACAAATGATTAACTAAATACTTTACATAACTGATGGCAATTACAATTGGGTTTACGACTGCAACGACTGAAAGCAGCGGCGGTTCTAATCCAGGGGGGCAGACTGGGGCCGCCTGGTCTGTTAAGGGGCCAGATGAATTTGACCTTAATGCTCTCCAAGTTTTACTTACACTAGAGCAAAAGAAGCAAAACACAATTTTTAAAGCCGAAGGTATTTACGCAGCGGTTTGCAGTCACATTTTACAAATATGTAACTCTGTTTCCTTATTTAGACTGTGTTGCTTCCACAAGCTTGATTATTTTTCTCCGCCGTTAATTTCGCTTTTCACCAACTGAAGCGACTCACCCACGTGTCCGTCAAGAAAATGTGCGCACGCTTGTTTCGAGTGTCGCCATGGCACAACATTTTAGTCCACATATATAAATAATAATAATAGATTTATTTCATACCCAAGTAGCACACGTATTTATGGGAGCCATGGGGGATGGGGGGAGGACATGCATGTGTCACGGGGGAACTGGCTCTCCCTTGGAACCGCCCCTGACTAGACTAGTGACGTGGAAAAAACGTAGCCTAAGTAAAGGCTATATTGTTTTTTTAAATTGTTAAATAGTGTCATGGTAAACATCAGTTTTGGTAGGCTAAATTGTGAGTTTTTCATATTGTCATTTTAAGACTCGATTTGCACAAAAATACTGTATAACGAATCATTATATTTAAGGGACAGATATCATTACTAGTAGGCCTATAGTTTTCAACCCAATGTCCTGAAGAAGATTTTTCCATTTAAAAGTCGGTATCCTAGATATCCCTGATTTCCACCTTCCTGAAACTTTATTGTTATTCGGTTTATGAAACACCCCGTGTATAACATGGTAGTTTCGTTTGTACACTGAGTACCGATACTGTATTGAGTGTGTAATACTTCAGTGCTTTTAATTAAACGCTCTGTCGACCAAGTATACCAGCAGGAATCAACAAAGCAGCCTAACTGCAGCAGTAAATGATAATGCCATATACGCCTTATAGCATTATCGATAGATGTTAGCGGAAAGTTCCTGTTAACAATTGTGCAGTCAATGATAACTTTATTATTTGGTCAGTTTTATTAAAGGGGCTGGGAAATTAATTTCCCTCAGCTATCTTAATTTGGAGTTTGTGTTTAAATGATAATCTGCCGGCTTTCGTCCAAAGAATCATTTTTTAATTAACATTTTATGCACTTCTGTTATGAAATTAGGTATATGTCATGCAAACTGTATATTTGTACTCTTTTTAGAGTAGTTATAGTACTTGATGAAAAACGAATCCTGATTCTACCCGAACGGTGTGTTGTAATGAACGCTGCTTCCGCAAGTTGGGGAGAAGGGAATAGCGAAAACACCCGTTAATTATAGACAGTGACCCGATTTCACCCATATCAGCTAAAACACCATTTCAGCACATAACCTATTTTGTTGTATTTTAGTTTTGTCTTCATAATATGTACCGGCATTTTGTTGATTCAGACTAAGGCTATAGACCACCTTCGTTTTATGTTTGTTTTTAATTTGACGCGGATTAACCAGTTTTATAAACAATGTAAGACAGGCTATCGATGTTTGTTTTTAATTTGATTAGCCAGGTTTATATACATAGCAAGACAGGCTACCGTTTGTGTTTTGTATGTGTAGCAATCACTCAGGAAGGCAATAAAAAGATATACATCACCCACAATGTGCACTGTTTATCATTTAGTCACCCAACGATGTAAATCGCGTTCCCAACCCGAGCGTAAATACTTTAGTTGATTGTAGAACAAACATTGTTGTACTCGTTATAATTCGCAAAAATAAAAACATATAAAACCAATTCAAAATTATTCACTGACGTGGATTAACCTGGGACTTGTTCGTTGTGAGGTATAGGCCTACGTTTTTTTGTCTTAATAACAACGTCTTTCATATTGTTTCACTACACATTTTTTCAGGTATAAAATGTTGAATTTAAAAGCATTGGATTTAAAATGCTCTGGGTAAAATGGTAAAGTTCAGCTTTATTAAAAGGATTGCTAAGGGGTCGGCGGTCGGTCATAAACAAATTCGGTTAACCTATTTGTAGTGGGTCATTTCGAGTTGTATCTTTGGAAAAAAAATATGTGAATTTTTTTTTAAGTGGAATTAATCATAAATGAATAGTCATTGGCAGCGCAGCCTACAGCCACATTAATGCCTAGTTGTGCCATTTGCCTCACTTGTACATCTATTTGCGTATAGAAGCGCCTGCAAAATAAAAATATATGTAAATGTAAATGAATACGAGCAGTATTTTTGTTCTATTAAGAAGGCATGCTGGTTACTTTTTGCCAATAGACATAATGAAAGGAAATCATTTATAACCCTGAAGCAAGTCTGCAGCAAAGGTCAGTTTATTAGAACTTATGCAAACCAAGCATGAATGTAGTTCAAAGTTTCATCAGTGCTGCTTACAAAATGCAATAGGCTACAGGGTGTTAAATAGGTTATTAATCACCTGACATGTTTAACTATGAGCATCTTTCCTGAAAATGCAGCTTAAGTACGTGAAGTGCAGGTGTAAGATATCAGAAAAAGTGTCCTCTAGTGGCGATTAGGTGATTTATAAAGGTACAACGTAATTGGGTTCAAACTGTAGTTTTGATTTAAACTGCCAGTACAGAGGACACAGCAATGACATTTAAGAAACCAGGTGCATTGTGGCTAACGTGTAGGCTACCTACTATAATTGGCCTGGACTCACTGCCCAGCTTCTCGCATGGTCATGCCATCGTTGACAGTGTCAACCAAAACTGCTCTTATTTCTTAATATATAACTGCTCTTATATATTATCTTCATCTACCTGTTTCCCATTGCAGGCCTAGTCTAACTGGTTCCATTTTGTTGCCTACCTCTTTGTTCCATGTTTCATTACTAAAGAATATATAGGGAACTAAGTTAACCTTTTTGGCTGTTTGTGCTTTTTTCACCTGTCATACGTGTTTTCCTGCATTAGCCCATTGTGTCTTGATGGTTGATGGAGGGATTTCTCCAAAATGAACAGGTGTGCTCACAATGATAGATGTGCTAACGCGCTAAGATGTGCACGTAGAGTTTTGGAAAATATGTGCATCAGGTTTGCTAATTGTGTGAAAACAACAGTATTGCGTAATAATTGTGGAGACAAAATACATGCATCTGCGGTGTTAGCGTCAGCAACTGATTAATTGGTGAATTCATTCAGTCAAGGCGTGTAACCTACTGAAAAAAAATTAACACGCAAGCAACGTGTTATACCCTAAAATAAACCGTTTAGCATAACTCATTTTAAACCAGGGGTAAAGTCAAGCTAATGACAAGTAAGCTAATGACGAGCAATTGCCCTTCGGTTATGTATATCTAAATGCATTTGTAATAGACTTTCTGGCATAAGTTACGGTAGTAATTGAAACCTTCGGAACGTTATTTTAAAAAGAACAATAGCACCATCTAGTGACTATATGTAAAATTAAACATTACGTCCCTACTATGCAACTGAAAAACGAACCTACAAAAGTCCTAACTTTTTCAAATGTTAAAGGTTGATAAAAGGTTGCTAGAAACAAATGGTTAATTTTATAGTTTGTTCGAAAAGCAAGGATTAGTTTACGTTAATTGAAGCACTCAAAACTAGACCTAAACAAACCTTTTTTTAAAAAGCATGAAAGAATTAATTTAATCGCCCAAGATAAATACTTAAAGGAAAATATGTTGGTGTAATCACAGTTTAAGGCCGGAGCCCGTTAGAGTAGGCTATTCATAAATAGGAGCAGAGCGGAGTGAAAAAATCTGTATCACTTGAAGAGCATTTAGTTAATATAATGTAGAAGCATTAAAAACAAGAATTTGTCGTAATATAAATGAAGTACGTGTAAATTTGATCAAAGTGAACACATTCATAGGTAGTTAGAATTGGGCGCCGATGCTGCTGTGTCTTTAAATGGAGCAGAGCGGCTACGCTGCCTGGGGCCGCGGAGGGTGATTCCAGATGGGGGCAGAGACTCCAAGAAGCGGGTACGGAAAGTACGGCTGTGGCTTCGCAGGGAAGGGGGCAGAGAGCGGACCCACTGAGCAGCTGAACACCCGCTCCATCTAAGCACCACCGATACTTCCTCCCTTTTTTAAAAACCACCCCCAACTACTTCCCGGATTTGGGGTATGAAAACATGGCGGTAAAAGCAAGAAAGCAGCCCGGGAGGGACGCGTCAGCTCAGATCGCGGACAAGGAGAGAAGCGCGCCCGCGTCCTCGGCACCGAGCGGCGTCAGAGGCAGGCGCTCAGGCAGGGACAGCAAAGGCGGCGCTTTCGGCTGCAGCTCGCCACACAGCAGGAATGGGCTGTTCGCCGCCGGCGCGTCCTCCCGCAGCAGGCTGGGCCTCTCCGCTTCCGCGCTGCTGGCCGCAGCCGTCACCGTAGCGCTTGGTGAGCGGGGTGTCGGCTCTCTGCTAGCCCGCTGACCCGTTATAGCTTCGCCCGGTCCGGCCGCGGCACCGGCGCGGATCGGGCGGTGTGGTGGTTCGCGGATGCTAATAAAGACTTTCCGTCAATGACGCTGTTTATTTCTTTCTGATCAGTTGCTGTTTTGGTTACTTGATGCGATTTCTCTTCTCAGTAACGAGTGGCATATAAATACTTAATTTTATATTTCATTATCGGGGAGCTAGTAATGGGGGTGCATCGTGCATTAAAACTTAATATAGCCCGTGAGCAAATGAACATACATATGTTTCTGGCAGTAGGCTCAGTCATTTAGTCTAGTTTTACGAAACGAAATTGTTCTTTAATCAGTGTTACCAGAGTTTTCAGTCCCCTTATTTGAGTCAATAGGAACGCAAAACCTCGGACGCGTGACAAGATGTGTCCTGATCCTTGATCAGGGGGGAGCTCGACTCTGTTAACCTGATAATCAGACCCAGCGAAACCCTAGCGAAGTAACCAGTGATCAAAGTGACCCATTTAGCATGAGTGTGGGTGTCTGACTGCGCTGGTTAAGTTACTCATCCACGTGTGGGCTTGCGGATAATTACTGAGTTGTAATTAAACTTAAGCAGATCACCACCTCAGCCCTGTTCGTCTTGTCGAAGTGGAAAATTGTCTTACCAAATGTGGGCAGGGTTCTATTGCATGAAATTGACATTTTCATTTAAAATAATATTTTAAAAGTGGTTGTATTCAGGCCAAACGCGAGATGTGTAAACATGGTCTGTTGACTCCCGATAAGCCTACGGTTTTAATCTCTGAATTCTAAACCGAATACTGTTCATTAAAAAAAATCGTGAATATTTGATGAGAACAAAGCCTCTCACTTCTGTTATTCAAGTAATAAGGGTGATTTGAAGGGGAAAATTAACATTCTTTTTTTATGATTGTTATTTATAGCTGCTGTCGCTGGCGTGGCGCACTGGTGAGTTCATTTCTGTGATGGTGATGCCATTATTTGCCCCTGCTGATTGCTGCTACTCGGCAAGTTACAGTGTCTGAACAACACTGGGTGAAAATGCGCTGTTAGTCTAATCAAGGCAGCACTCATTAATCAAATAGTCAATGAGGTGTTTTTTTTTTCCCCCATAGGTATCATCTTTCATACCTGTTTGAAAATGACAGGCACTTTTCCCACCTTTCGACACTGGAGAAAGAGATGGCTTTTCGGACGGAGATGGTAAGTGAGCAGGTGCACTTCTTCAAAGGGGCGGGGCGGGGGAGAAGAAGCGGACCTCTGCTTAAATGGCATCATGTTCTTCCCATGCTGTTTCTCTGCAGGGTCTTTATTTTTCGTACTTTAAGACCATAATTGAAGCACCATCTTTTGCCAGTGGGCTGCACTCGATAATGAACGATCGCTTAACGGAATACCCGCTGGTCATAAACACGCTGAAGAGGTTCAACCTGTACCCAGAGGTGGGTGTTGGGTGTCCTGTACCAGTTTGAGAAGCACCAGTTTGTGGCTGTCCTGTGTCTGCTCTCCAGCAGGATCTGACGAGATCAGTACCTGTTCATCGCTGCTCAGCAAACTCTGCTGGAACGGTTGAATATGCCGAAGTCACGCCAGCAGAAATGATGCCAAAAGGTCACTGTTGGGTTTTGTGGCTGATGTTCGAAGGATGTTATTTTTTATTCATCGTTATTGCCTTGACTTGGCAGCCGAGCCTCCCCGTTCGGAGGCCTACCTCCCTCCCGCTCGGAGGCCTACCTTCCTCCCCGTTCGGAGGCCTACCTGGTATCTTTTATGTGTGATCATGCAAATTAGGCATGATGAAGGCACTTAGCTGCTGTAAGAAGGAGTCTGACTGATGCCTTCGGAGGTAACTGGAAGGAAGAAGCACCACTGATAGCACCATGACCTATTAACCCCCCCCCCCCCGCTTTGTCTTGCTAGGTGGTCTTGGCCAGCTGGTACCGAATCTACACCAGTACAATGAACTTCTTTGGGATTCCCACTAAGATGTGCTGGTCTGTGAACCGGGGGGATGGGCTGAATGCAGTGGACAGCTGTGAAGGTATTCAGCCCCGCTTCCTGTTTACCGTGGAGACCTCTTGGCGGCGGCGTTTCGTTTGGCTTTGGTGTGGGTCCAGCGTTTGTTTGACAGCTTTATCACCTGTGACCTTTGCCTTGCCCACACCGGTGTTTCCTTTGCACATGTGGTGCTGGGCGAAACCCGGATGTCTGTAACCTGTTATTTCTTTTTGACCATGGAACCTTTTCCGAGAAGAGGGTGGCCCAACCCCAATTCAGTGATGTTTACCGTAAGACAGATTAACCGGTGGGGTGGGCGAGTGTATTGACTGGGTGTGTGTGCTGCCCCCCCCCCCGCCAGGTCTGGGGGACCCCGCCTACTTCTACGTCACGGTCGTGTTCCTCCTGAATGGAGGGATGATGAGCCTGTTCTTTGTTTACGGGGCGTATTTGAGGTAAGCCCTCTGAAGTACTGATAGATCATGTTGGTGTAAAACAGA